AATGAAGTTCCTTAGACATTTTCTCCATAATACATTATATAGTATTTGTGGGCCATGTCACACTTCAGTGAATCAACACAATCTTGTCTATAATCTTGTCTTATTTTATATATCATTTTCTTTTGCAGCTGCGTGATTGTGTTTTCTTGTTTTGATGCACTGTGATGGCGCCCTGTTCTGATGGGCGTGACACAGGGTCGGGTGTGAGCTGTGGCACCGAGGTGACGTCTTCTGAGGTGTGGGACAGCAGGTAGGATGCAATAGCATTATGTTGGCATCTCGTAGGAATAAGGCAGTGCTGCTATTTTCGAAGGACATGAACTTAGTCGATTGGTTGATTGATGAGAGTGGGTCTCGCCAAGTGTGGGAACTGCAGTTTTGAATGTGCTGCCTTTTGTTCCTGATGTGGATATTGCACGAGATCTTTCCTGTTTTGGTAGGATCATCGGGGATTTAAAGAAAGCTTCGACACTAGGTTGCTTCCTGATGGGTGTTTTTGTAGGGGCTTTGCTGCGTTCTGGGAAAGATTGAGGATGGAAAAGAGGCACTTTAGGGATGTGGCATCCTGGTGGGATGTGGGTAAGGTTCAGGTCAGGGTTTATAGCCAGCCGGATGCTGCTCAGTCAAGGGCAGCGGGTAGCAGCGTCCTTCAGGATTTGGAGAGGAACGTTGCTTTGTTTGAGAGGGACTTGAGCTCCTTCCTGAATGAATGGGTGAAAGTGGCTTTAGTCCGAACTGGGATGTCTCAGATTAGGGACAGGGTTGCCGCAAGTTCTTTCTTTTTCAGCTTGGACAAGATGGCGAAGCCCCACATGTTACACGTCCATATGTGTGAACCCACATGAAGCCAAGTTTGCAGTTTGGATGACTCAGGAGAATAAGCTGAGAGGGGCTGGATTGACGGACCCATAGTCTGGTGTGGCTGGTGGCAATGAGGCCCAGAGTGAGCATGCAAACTCTTTGCTGACCCATGTACTGCAGGATTTCTCGACTGTATGGGCCTAGGTGGGGTGTGAACTTGGTGATGATCAAGGCCTTGTGTTAAAATTGTGACAATGCATGACATTTCTGGCTTTTGCGGATGTGTGATTTTTTTGTGAATTTCATGTCGTATGTGCTTTTGTGACAAGGGATTTTAAATGTCACTCTCTCTCTCTTTCTCCTTCTCTCTCTTTCTATCTCTCTCTCTCCCCCTCTCCCTCTTTCCCTCTGCTCCAAGCATACTGCGCTCTCCTGCTTAATGCTCAGCTGCAATGCATGCGGCTGCTTTTTTAATTAAACACGGCCGTAAACAGGGAGGCTTCTGATGCTTCCCGCCACTCGACAGCGTAGTAATTTTCAGCACCACTTTATTTACTCTGGCTGCTTCTGCTCATTAAGCACTTGCACAGAAACGCTGGCTGGAAATGGCCCGTTTCATCTGCTAAATGGATTACGTCCTGCTTCACCGGAACATTCCTTGGGCGTTCAGTTCATCTATCTGTTTTCATTTCACGTTTCAGAGGAATGTCCAAAATATTTTGTCATGCATGTCTCACTCAAAACCATACAACATTTACATATACAAAGTCTCCTTTCCATGCTCTCTCCATCTGACGGAAATAAGGAAAACCTTTTTAGTCTTTGTAAATACCAAATTTGACTTGTCCAAATTAAATTTCACTGTAAAAACAGCATCACTACATAACAAATTACGAAAGACTTAAAGGAATTTGCAATGAAAGGGCATGATTAAATTGACCGTTCAGAGCAAGGAATGAGAGGTTACAATCAAAGGTTACATTCTGTCACCAGAAGCACATTTTCAGATCTCTGTTCCAGACCCCGGTCTCCAAAACCACTAAGCCCAACAACCCCTAGACCAGGGCTCTCCAGTTCCAGTCCTGGAGGTCTAGAACCAACACAGATTTCCCTGTTCAAACACATATAAATCAGCTAATTAATTTAGTAGGTGTGTCTGAGCAGTGAAATCTGCAAACTGTGTTGCAGACTGGCCCTACAGGACTGGAACTGGGGATCCCTGCTCTAGATCCATTTCAGGTCATGTATCCAGCAGAACGATCCATTCAGTCACTAAGCACATTGCAGTGCCGCTGATCACCAACAGGACGATCCATTCAGTCACTAAGCACATTGCAGTGCCGCTGATCACCAACAGGACGATCCATTCAGTCACTAAGCACATTGCAGTGCCGCTGATCACCAACAGGACGATCCATTCAGTCACTAAGCACATTGCAGTGCCGCTGATCACCAAGTCAACCGACCTTCTCATGTTTGAACTGGTTTTTGCCAGAATGGATAAAAGCACACAACAAATATGTTATTAGTTAACTGCGTCAGTGATTATGGATGTTAATGGTTATTCTTTGCTTACCTATAAAAGAGTGCTATGTACTGAGGTTTATAAGTATATTATCAACCAGAGTCTGTAAACATATTGCTTAGACTAGAGTAATGAGTAACGGCATTTACATATTTACTGGTATACAAAGAGTATCAGTGCATACCAAATACTGCTGTCTCCTGCGGCCTGCTGTGTATTCAGCCAGCAGCAGCTCTGCCTCCGGACGTCCTGCTCCTCAGCTGCAATCAATAAGCAGCCGGTCACTCTTCCAGCGAGACCCGCGCCCGTGACACGGTCACTGCCAACACGGAGCGCCTCACTCTACCACAGTTGTCAGTTTGGCCGCCCACAACTGGGAGCCTCCTGAACGTTTCCCGGAAACAGTTCAGGCCCCCTTATGTGGCACAAGGGGAAAAAAACGCAAAAAATCACAATACCGGGGGGTTATCGTTCCTCTGCTAAAAGGCCCTGCGTGTCCAACATCCCTCTTAAAGCGGGTGTGATCATCTTATGGTATAACTGGTTAAACACTGGTCCACAGAGTTCCAAATACGCTTTAAAATACCCCTTATTATGTACAAATCAATCCATTTAAACAAAACACAGACATTTACCAGAGTTCTCAGTATGATATGAAACCTATACAACAAACCAGAAGGCTTTTGAAGTAAGACTGCATTGCGTACAATAGTTCATATATTTAAATTCCAGGACTGGAAGCAGGACCTTGACAGTAACACACGCGAAGGGCTTATTGCAAAAAGTCTTATTGGCAAAGGCCCGCCTTTTCAGCAAAGGCCTACCTTTTCAGCAAAGGCCTACCTTTTCAGCAAAGGCCCACCTTTAGTTCCACAGAACTGCAGCTTTCAAACAGGACCAAAGATGTAATGTGAAGTCAGTTAAGCAGGACTTCTGCTCTAGGCTGGAAAACACCCTCAGGCCAGCACTGGAAATGTCAGAGCGTGACGACAGTAATGATTTCAGGTCTGGTTTCAAGGAGGAATGTAATACCAAAGGACTCTGCAAATAAAGCCAGTGAGCATCTGAGGAGATGAATGATTTATTAGCAAATTCCAGGGCAGTGATGACGGAAGCACACACGCTGGGACCTGGAGGTACTGTACTCCTGACATCAGTACCTGCTGGTAAATATCCAGACTGATGGCACAGAGGGCATGCACTTCATGACGTGCTGGTGAAAATGTACAGTGATGGGGCTGACTGGTGAACAACCATTACCTACACATGCATGTAACCTTCACTTATAATTACAGCAACAAAAACATACTGATACCCTTTCCATCCAGAACCTATTTAGCTATATAACTTCATAATTAGGAATGCATGTAGCTAATTAACCGGGTCAGCCAGAACCAGCATCCCTGTGGAAGCATCAGGCAGGACTCCATGGACAGTGACAGACCCCCCCCCCCCCCCCCCCATATTCATCATGAGCAGAACATCCCACCTTCTAGCAGACAATCATCGATTTACACTACAATAGGGACGTGAATCGTGTGGAACCTGCAGTGCTGTGCTGATTCTTAAAAAGCTTGCCAAACCCCAGGGGATGGGTTTGTGGTATGTGTGACAGTCTATACGCAGGGGATGTGTTTGTGGTATGCGCGACAGTCTACATGCAGGGGATGGGTTTGTGGTATGTGCGACACAGTCTATATACATTTCATGTCCAATAAGTGACCTAAATTTACTTTAAGATCTACTTTAAGAGTGTACAAAACATTTTTTTTTTTGTAATTATAGATCCTGTGTAGATTTACAATCATTAAACATCATGTATCACCCTGACCCATAACTAACCTTTACTATGTATTCAGGTGACTTGATACTTCCTATTGGGTCAGAGTCATGAAGAAGCACCATTTGAAAGACCGTTTGGAGAACACTCATAAAACTGAATTTTCATAACAAAAGCATTTTTTAATTATGCATACTACATGTAAGATGTAGAAAATAAAAATACAGAATAAGCGATTAACTGTTGAGTTGTTCTTAGTGCAATTAATAAAGTGGTAATCTTCAAACACCTGAAAAGCCAGCCAAAGTATTTATACATTAAGTGTATATTGTGTTTTTTCGTGCCAATTTTTCGTACTTCCAGTGACATCTGAGGCCATGACTGACACACAGCACGCTAGAAAGCAGTAACTGCGCGAGCCAAGCCACACTGGCTTTTCACCCTGCGGGTTCGGCGTCTTCGCGCAGTGCATGCTGGGTATCCATAGTGCCAGGTTTTGAAATGCCATTCAGATGCTTATTCTGCATGTTTAACACTGAAAGCCTTCATTTAAAAAGCCTGGACAATCCTGGAACCTAAAGAGACTTATTTTGTAGATATTTCCAGGTTGTTTTCAGCAATGGAAGCATTTATATTATACATTCTTTTCTTGTATAGTTTATGTAATTACACATATAGGTTTACCTCTAAATATTCAGTTATCTTACATTTTAGATTAAATCCTTTATTCGCAACAATTTAATAAGTACTACACAATGACTATATTACCGTAATATGTAAAACTGGACTCTACTGCTCATCAGTACACTTTCATATATAACACTTTGATGATAAAGTAACAATAACCGGGAAGAGCATGGAGTATTTTCCGAACATCCGCAAACTCCAACCCACCTTGCATAGGAAGGTGTGTGAACCGGCCGGGGGTGGGTTACATGCTGCCCGCTGTCCCACAGAAAGCCGCTGAGCTACTTGGGGCTACACCGAATGGAGAGACCGCTCCACTGCGGGGGGGACCTGACAAAGGGGGGAGAGCTGGGTGAGACGCCGCCCGCGGCGGAACAGGCATGGTGCAGTACGGCGGTGCGAGGCGAGCAGCAAAGCGTTAAAACGTCACGGCATCAGCGCGAGGCGCCGCGTATGACCGCGGGAGGATGCGCGCAGTGCAGCCCGTGTGTACTCCAAAATGCACAATACTAAAATTATTATAATAATTATTATTATTGCTAAAAATCCTTAGCTCATAATTCCAAGCTATGTTTATATTGCATGCTTGCCTGCAAAGACAGGATCCGGTACGGTGATTACGATGCATTTTCTATAAGGCAGCAAGCGAGAGGCCATTACTGTAAGTAGATTACATATCTATCGACAACACAAAGAAATATGTAGGCTTTATTTCGGGTTAAATTACACAAATACCAAGCAGTACGACAAATCGTAAATAAGTGCTGATATGGAGGATAACTGAAATGTATCGTTCGGCGCTTTGATATTTTATCAAGGAGGAAAACATGCGAAGGTCTGTTTGCCGCAGCATAGCGATGTGCTGCCGCCGCAGGATGGCCGCAGATCCGCTGGCGGCTCGGGCAATGTGTCTCTCTGCACGATGCACACCATCGACAAAGACAGCTTACCTGGGATAACACCACCTGTCTGTGAATCATACTCCTCTGCCAAGCGTTAGAATCCAAACATGACTGACATACTTCACTCTAGTCTTGAAGCCCATCTTCGCCAACGTACAATATCCAGGTAAAGGGAGGAGGGGACAGCGGGATCCTGGCCGTCTATTCAGAGAAATACTACATCAGGATGGCAATTCCTCAGCCTCCCTGTTGGTACCATGCAGATGCAACCAATGGAGCGCCTGTTCTTGTGTGCGTCGCCGTCTTTCCTCCTCCTCCGCACCGCCGCCAATCACGTCCCTTTCGGTGCCGGGCAGGATCGCGAGTGTGGGGCCGTGATGGAGGCATGAGGAGGTCCGCTCGCTCCGCTCCCCGCACCTCTCGCCTTTGATCGCCTCCTTAAACTGCCTTTTACTAAACATATATATGAAATAGCAGCCCCACCGATTTATGGTTTGTTCTTGTTCTTATGGTTTTTGGGAGTTTGATTAATGTTAATATTAACATAACACAATAATTAACATAATCCGGGTAATTCTATTTTTTAATTATATAGCTATAATATAAATATGTAACTTTGTTATACAAGGACAGTATTGTTCACTTTTCGATGCAGTAGAGCATTTTAACTGCAATAAGAATTGCGGGGAAATACAATGAAACAGGTTTGGCGAAATCTGATGTGATCGTTTGAAAATGATCGGATGTGTGACAATGAATGACGTTATCATCATCGTCGCCGTCATCATCATCTTCATCATCACACTTTACAATACAGCGTTAATTTACTGTTGTAGCGCATTAAAAATGACACGTGATCGCCCCGGAAATCGACTTTCAGTATATCCGTCCAGGACGCTCTATTCCAGGATATTAACATATACTTATAAATAACAGTAATTATGAGCTTCATTAGCCACAGGGTACTTCCTCATGTAAGCTTTTCTGTTTTATGCTCTTAGCTCCATCTTAGAAATGCGTGTGATGCTGGACGAAAATCTGCTCATAAAATGAGCCGTTTGCAGGACGCTAATTATAATGTCCCTCACGTCCGTGATCATATGCTGTACATGGCATGTAAAAAACTGAAATCCATATTAGAACTTCACGTGACCCCTGAAATTATTGAACAGTTACATAATGTAATCAAAAACAAAATAGGTTTATATCTCTACATATGAGACATCACACGAGATGAGGATATTTATACAAAGCATGACCTGAAATTTTATGAAATATGACTGTGGGAAGTATTTCTATTTTGCACAGGAAACTTAAAATGTTAACATACGCTGTGTTATTGACAAACGTGTCTCTCGCACTAAACAGTGCATATTAATAGCAGATGTGCATATTAATCTCAGCAAAAACAGCACATCCGAGGATTTCCACTCAGCCCGCCCTCCCAAAGGTCTGTCTGTTTTCACCTCTCAACTCTCTCGACATCCACAAGAGACTGCAGCGGTGACAGGGGGAACACGAACATGATGAATAAGGTCCTTTTGAAGATATCATTTGCTAGTCAGACGTCAGCGATCCCATAAAGTCTCCTTTCCGCTAGGTATCATATGGATGACGCAAAGTAACCTAAACGAAACTGAGACAGAGTAATGACAATTATGCACACAAAAGCTCAGATGAATCAGATTCCTGTTATTGAAACATTGTTACTTAAAACCGTCTCATCTAGAACTGGATAGTTTGCTTTTTATCTTTTAGGTTTTAAGATCCCCAGTGTTCCAGATCACTGCTGATGGGAGCGACGACGACAATGTCGACAATTATACTGTTATTATTAGTAGTTGTAATACCTAAAATAGCCTAAAACTAAAGTGACAACATAAATGTAGGTCACTCTAGGAAGATTAGAAATGGTTTGTGAAAAGTACATAGCTTTTCCAGAAAAACAGAAGTCTTTAGTCTTTACAGCAAGCCAGCTTTGACTGAATAAAATCACCGCACCGATTTAGTAGACAAACTTGCTGTTTTTTTGCCTCAGTGGTACAGGAAGAGCCACAGGTAGCTTACTGGCAGCCAGACACTGGGATGCCTGCTGGAGGAACAGGTGACAGAGGATTTCAGCTTTCAAGGAGGCTCGTCCAGCTTCCCACTGAGACCTCCGACAAACGCTACAAATATGGGACCATGGCTTCAACTGGGGCTTAATATTAGAATAATCTGTCTTTCTAACCATGTATGTTAGTCAGGGCAGGGTGGGGAGCATGCACTGATGCAGCGCATTGCCACACCCACCACATGGCAAAACTCCTTGGGATCCCGCCTGGCGGCCCCCCCAGGCAGACACACGGTCCAGTCCCACCCTCCAGAAATGGCCATCAGCCACAACCAGGTGTTACGTGGGCGTCCCCTCGGCCTGGTCCAGCCACTTGGGACTTCCTCAATGAGGATCCTGCGAGCCGGATCACCGTCAGGGAAACGTACCAGATGGCCGTAGTGCCGTAACTGACGCTCCCTCACAGTGCAGGTAATGTGCCTCATTCGGGACTCCCTCACTATGCAGGTAATGTGCCTCATTCGGGACTCCCTCACAATGCAGGTAATGTGCCTCATTCGGGACTCCCTCATAATGCAGGTAATGTGCCTCATTCGGGACTCCCTCATAATGCAGGTAATGTACCTCATTCAGGACTCCTCTAGCAACCGCTCATTCCACACAAAGTCAAACCAGCGGTACCCAAGGATTCTCCGAAGAGACACAGTACCAAAAGAGTCCAGTCTTTGTCTTGGCCCCCTGGATAGTGTCCATGTCTCAAAGCCATACAGCAAGACAAGGTGGCACCAGGACTCTAAAGACTTGGACCTTTGTCCTCTTGCAAAGATATCAGGAGCACCACACACCCCTTTCCGGTGACCTCATGACCCCCAACCCCCCCCCCCATGTTCTCCCACTCCGTTTGCTGACTTCATAGGAAGAGTCACCAGAGACATGAATGTCACTGCTGATGTAGGTAAATCTCTCGACAAGGTCGACATTCTGCCCTGCAGACAGACACACTACTGATGGTTGTGCCTAAGAAGTCATTAAATGCCTGGATCATCCAGGACACTCAGACTCCTCTCTCAGTCTCTATGAGCCCCAATCAGAGCCTCCATCGACTCCACGAAGATCACAGCATCGTCGGCAAAGTCAAAATCAGTAAAACTTTGTCCACAAACAAATACCTCACAACCGCTGGACCCCACAACTCTGTCCAACATCCAGTCCATTCATGCATTGAACAGAGTAGTAGCCAGAACACACCCCTGGTGAACCCAGAATCAACTGGGAAGAATGGAGACGTTCTCCCTCCACTCTGCACAGCACTCACAGTACCAGTGTACAGGCCGACCATGACGCTCAGTAACTTCGGGGGGATCCTGCGAAGTCTCAGGATGTCCCACGGGGCAACTCTGTCAACTGAGTCAAACACTTTACAAAAATCGACAAAGACTGCAAAGAACCTCTGCCGATATTCGTGTTTACCTGTGATTTTAAATGCCCACTTATCCAGGAAGAGGAGATATCATGGGGATCCATTACCAGAAACGCTATAGGCGGCCCACAAAAATATCACGTGATACCATGCAAATCCCATAGTGCCTGGACATATAATCAATGGGAACATCTTTGGGACAGTCACAGCCATCTGAAGGGGACGTGGGTAGAGGCTTTTAAAGCTGTTTTATATGTAAATAAAATTTGGGTAAATGACTAAAAAAAACTGTGTTCCTCACATTTCCTAAGAACTTTCAATACCTAATATGTATTTTCATTTTTCACTAGCCTCTGATTTTAGCTCCCCAAATCCTGAATTTAAATATTGAAAAGCAACCTGTTTAAATATAACAATCGATTTCAACATTCTGAGTACATTCAGGTTTGTGGGTATAATCCAATGGAGATATGCAGTGTTTTCCATTCTTAATGTAACTTTTTAAAAATCCCCGTATTTGTCCGGCACTGCCATCTTCTGTTCAAACCATCAAAACTACACCCTGAAGGTAATTCACCAGGTTTATGGGTTTTCTCAGTTGCTTTGGTACATTCCTCTAATCATCCTTAACATTTGAAAAACATTAAGTGCATTTCTCAAAAGAATTCATACAAACAGCACCACATGATGGACTGATTACCTGCAAAAGCCAATAACTTTCACAAAATCTTTAGTTTATCCCTCAAAAATAAATATTTATGTCAGTGAACTTGTCAGTGCCACCAGAATGACAAGTCCTTGTGTCATCATTCGCAAACATGATGGTCAAAATGCTCAGCCACTTTGTCACTCTGTAGGCATTTTCCAATGGAGACTAGAGCTAAGGTTTTGATGACAACGAGGGAAAATGTACAAAGTTGTACTTTTTCTGTATGAAATATGAATTTCATCAGTACACACTGTAAATAAGCATACATTTACATGTGTGGTGCAGTATATGTCCGGTATGTAGCTGTATAAAGTAAATTTACTGTATACTATAAAATGCAAGTGGAATACTGTAACATGAAGCATCGCAGTAAGTGTACAGTATTACAGTACAGTGCTGAGAGTTGGATTACATACCTGTTGTCTCTATGAAACCTTTAAATAATTGACACGGTTGTTCTCTCATATTCACCCGCACCCTTTGACCAGCCTCGGCCATGACTGAGGAAATGATCCACAATTGTGGCCCTTATTTCATCAGGAACGTGCCTCTGTTCTTGGGCTCTTCTGCCTCTTCTGTTTTGCCTCCTTGCCCTTCCACCACGCAGCCTTACTCCTCATCTTCTTACCGGCTGTTCACCCTGTTGATTTCCTCTTTCTTCCATTGTCAAATTGTAACATTGTGTTGCACTCTGTCAATATATTCATGCCAAATGAAGGTTCATGAGATGTACCTCTGAGCTCTTTTAGAGAACTGGTTGATCACCGGTTGATCTAATGTTTAAACATTTTTTTAAAGGAGAGGACTTGACCATCCACCTTCTGAAAGCTTAAATTAATGACAGACTCTTTTTAAACTCTACTTTTATTTGTTAAGGACAATTACTTCACTTTTCCATGTATATTTTTGGTGGTGCACTAGGTGAGGTGATGTAAATTTCGTCAACAGGGGTTTGCACCAGAGTGCTGGTGGCAGTGTGTGTCCTTGGGGGGTCGTACACAATTTTGTTGAAAGGTTTTCAAAACACCACGATATGCTAGCTTAATACCACCCAAGCCTTGGCTAACAACTTTAGAACTGTTAATAAAAAGTTTACCAGTTTCACTAGAGTGTTTGTATCTGTGTTTGCAAGAATACATCTGCCCTCTGCTGGCAGTGGTGGAATATCTCTGCTGCGTGCATGCACCGACCACAACCACCTG